ATTTCATGTCCCCATAAAGTCGCTCTGCCACGTCTGTAGGATGACCAGGGCTTTGTCTAACACCAGGAGGCACTTAAGGTCTAATTTAATTTCAGTTAGGTAATCTTTCACATTGGGGGCAAAATGCATGGTGTAACCAGTCATAGAAAAAGTCCCTAGTGACCCATGCCTTACTGTTTGCCCTCCACAGCACACACAAATTAGCCTTAAGGATATTCTTTTGCCTGAACGCTCTGGGAGTTTCTGAGTGATACACTAATAAAGGCTTCACTTTGCAATCACCACTAGCATTGGAACACATCAACAGAGTAAGCCTGTCTTTCATAGGCTTATGTCCTGGGAGTTGCTTTTTCTCCTGAGTAATGTAGGTCCTGCTTGGCATTTTCTTCCAAAACAGGCCTGTTTCATCACAATAAACACTTGTTCAGGTTTCAGTCCTTCACTGTCTATGTACTCTTTGAATTCCTGCACATATTTTTCAGCTGCTTTGTGGTCCGAACTGGCAGCCTCACCATGCCTTATCACTATGTATGCCACTACGCTTCTTAAATCTCTCAAACCAACCTTTGCTGGCCTTAAATTCACTCACATCATCACTAGTTGCAGGCATTTTTTTAATTAATCCTGATGCAACTTCCTAGCCTTTTCACTTATGATCACTTGAGAGATGCTATCTGTTTTTCATTTATCCACACCAATAAGTCTCTCAACATCTTCCATCACTTGCGATCTCTGTTTCGAAAACACAGTTGAACCTTTGGCAAGAACAGCTTCCTTGATTGCCTTTTTGTTGCCCACAATAGTAGCGATAGTTGACTGGGTTTATTATACAACCTGGCCAGCTCGGAGACACTCACTCCACTTTCATACTTATCAATGATCTCTTTCTTCATCTCTATAGTAATTCTCACCCTTATTCCTGTAGGGTTGGCACTAGAAGCTTTCTTGGGGCCCATGGTCACTTATTTGCAGATAAAATCACCAAAAAACACTGTAATAATACGAAATGTTCGATTGTATGCTTGGATGTTACTGCGGAGGCTGGCTGGTAAACAATGCCACCGGCGGAACATTGAGGCTGGCTAAGGCCGCACATTAGACGTGTCTCGACGAACAGCGTTGAGCGGGTTTTTTAGCGGTATGCGAGGCAAAATCTTAGCGATAAAATGTATCGGTATGCGGATTTAACGTTATGTAAGGCCAACGGTATGCGGGGGTCCACTGTACTCATAAATTCTAGCGGCTTCAAATCAAGCAGGAGAAAGCTGGTAGGCCCACATGTGAGAGAATGGGTCTGTGGTCAGTGTGCACCATATAAAAAAAAAATCCTGCAGCACGCAGTGCATAATGAGAAAAAGAAAACTGACCGTTTTTTTTTAACCTTTGACTGTTTCGGTCGTATATATACGTCTTACGCGCCACTGTTTCGGACGTATTTATACGCGGAAATTCTAGCGGCTTCAAATCAAGCAGGAGTAAGCTGGTAGGCCCACATGTAAGAGAATGGGTCTGTGTGGTCAGTGTGCACCACATAAAAAAAAACCTGCAGCACGCAGTGCGTAATGAGAAAAAAAAAACTGACCGTTTTTTTGGATTAAAATGCCGACTTTGAGGTGTATTTTCGTATAGTATTTATCATTGTATTCTTGTTTTCGTGGTCTCACGTGATAAAATGGAAAACATATTACAGAAATAGATGTGATTTAGATTACTTTCATGATGAAAACAACCTTGAAATTGAGCTCAAAGTAGCAGAAATGTTCTATTTTTACCAATGTTCAGGAGTAAGCAAATCATACCACATGTCCAATACGTCAACTGGGGAGTCTGATATTCTTTCACTAGTGCATTGATATTATTTATACCATTTTTACAATAATGCAGTAGTCTGCATAACTGTAAATTTTGTATTTTTTGTATGAATAAAAAAATCAAAATAGAAAGCAATAGTAATATAAGAGGGGCCTAGAGACGTGACTAATGAACAGAGGATATGTTATTTTAATGCCAAGAATATCTACATTGTTTATTCTGGACCCTATTTTGAAATTGGCATCTTTTTTTAATTTGCACGAAATTGGCCAAAGTGCCAGTTTCTGATCACTTTATTGGGTAGTTCAAATCGGTAAATGGGCGGTTTCTTGTACACAACTGACAGAAAAAAATGGAGTTCTAAAGAAATTGCTATGATTTTGGTCAACTGGAACAACGGAATTGGTCAAAAACAGGGCTCAAAGTCGGCGAAATCGCCGATGTGTATATGTTGCCGAGACCGCTAACTTCGCGGGAGCGTAATTCTGTGAGTTTTCGACCAATTTCGTACTTTTGGTGTCATTACCATCAGGAAAAGATTCTCTATCATTTCACAAGAAAAAATAATTTTTTTTTTTTTTTTCCAAAAATTTTGCGACAGGATGACAGTCTCAAGAAAGGGGCTTGCGACAGTCGAAGGTTAATTAAGATGCCAAATTTGTGGTCTATTTTCGTATAGTATTTATGGTTATATTCTCGTTTTCTTAGTCTCATTTGATAGAATGGAAAACATATAGAAATAGAGGTGATTTTGATTGGTTTTACTATGAAAACAACCTTGAAATGGAGCTCAAAGTAGGGGAAATTTTTTATTTTGCCAATGTTCAAAAGTAAACAAACGATGTCATTGTCCAATAAATGTCCAACTGGCCATTCTAATATGCAGTCATGAATGGGTTGACATTATACAATTATTACAATATTGCAGTAGTCTGCATAACAGTAAATCTTCTATTTTTTTGTTTGAAAAAATTCAAAATAGAAAGCAAGAGTAATATCAGAGGGGCCTGGAGATGTGACTGATGAACAAAGAAAATGTTATTTTAGAGACAGGAATGTCTGCATTGTTCATTCTGGACGCTATTTTGAAATTGTCATATTTTTAATTTTCGTGAAATTGGCCAAATTGCAAATTTAGACCATGTTATTGGGTAGTTGAAATTGGTAAATGGGCATTTCTTGTACTCAGTCAATATAAAAAATGGAGTTCTAAAGAAATACCTATGAGTTTGGTCGACTGGAACAATGGAATTAACTGAAAATTAGGGCTCAAAGTGGGCAAAATCGCCTATTCGTAAATATCGCCGAGGTCACTAACTTTGCGAGAGCATAATTCTGTCAGTTTTCCATCAAATTTCGTTCTTTTGGTGTCATTACCATCGGGAAAAGATTCTCTATCATTTCATAAGTTTTTTTTTTAAATTTTTTGACACCAGGAGACACCTCAGGATTTGGGGTTTAGACAGTCAAGGGGTTAAACTGGGAACTTATGCATATGTTTGGTATATACAAAACATGAATAAGAAAGCCAGTAGACAGTTTAGTGTGCAAAAATTTGCCAGTGGAATGTTAGACATTATTTTTTATATTATAAGAGTTGCAATTTGAGAAAATTATCCACACTGTCAAGTAAGATTGGTGATGTGTCTGTGTTTAGATTGCTAAGATTCGTGGTTATACAGGCCATGAATATTTTATTATTTTTTATCTATTTGATGTATAACCCTTGCAGGTTTAGCACTTTTTTATAATAATTTATCTATTTGAAAACAAGTGTCAATCCTATGTGGATCATACAGTGCAGAGGTGGTTTGAGTTATAAAGGTTGGGATAATTATTATTATAATCATAACTAAGCACTAAACCCACAAGGGTCATACAGTACTGCTGGGGATGCCTGGACAGGGTTTTGGGGGTCAACGCCCCTGCGGCCTGGTCTGAGACCACAGGTACTTGGCTTTTACAAAACTTGATAAAAATTGAACACATGGAAATCCACTGGTTATTCAGAGCATTTCAGGTTAGCTAAAACATGACTATTGGGACAAAATATCTATTGCCACATATGTATGTTTTCAAGGACATTGAAAATATATACACAGAGTAATCCTAGTGAATATAACAAATTTGAAAGTGGAGTTGAGGGTATGTGAATGTGTAAAATTAACATAGTTCAGTAGGTTACTTTCTGTTAAAGTCATGAAGGGAGTCTGGGATATAGGAGAGACTTTCAGCAAGGAGGGCAGTTAATGTGTGTTCCAGTGTTAAATTGAAGTATATTAATATTTGGTAAACTGTTAAAGCTGCATTGCAGTCCTCATGTAGATGGGCTGGTTGACTTACCATGTGGAATTGGAGCTATCCTCTCCTTCCATGGATTAAACCCGGTTACCTCTCACTCCATATTATTATTATAATCAAGGGGGAAGCGCTAAACCTGGAGGATTATACAGCACCTGGGGGGGATGTGGAAGGCATTTAGGCTTAATTCGGGGAACTGGAGCACAGATCCAATTCCCTAAATCAAGAGCCCCTCACCAATATCAAGGAACCTTCCTTGAGGGGTCTCACTCCATAGGTGTTGCATGACCCCTTATAAATAATAGTAGTGATTACTCTTATATTTAAGGGGAAGGCATTTAAAAGCTTTTGACCCTTAACACTTACCAAGTTATCTTGTAGAGTATTTTATGGTAAAATGGGTCCTAGTCCACTACTCATGTCACTAGGACAAAATTAGAATCTTCATGAGGAAAGTAGACAAGTTACTGTAGGAAGTTCCTTGTCATGATTGTGGAACTCAAATGTCCCTGCAAGCAATGGGCAGAAACAGTCAGTGATCAGGTAACCACCTAGAAAGCCTGTCTTAGACCAGGCTATGAGAGTACATAAGACCTCGTAGGTGAGGAAGATACATGTGCAAGTTTTATTTTATCTTCATTGCTAAGATGTCTCAGCAATAAAGAGGCCAAATTGATGCATGTGTCTTAGTCATCTACTCACTGGCATTGTGCACCAGTGATATAATGAAACATTAGACCTTTCCTGACCTTCCTTGCATGGAAACTCTTTGCCACTTGCTGCATAAACCTGTAAGTTTATCACCTTCCTCTAAATATAACAAGTCTTTGATTATCCCGAGCTATTGTGTTACCCTCTGCAATTAAACTGAAGAATATTGTCCACAGGGAATGGAAAGCTTGACGCAGGTGGCATAATTGGCATCATCATAGCAGTGCTTTTTGTGATGGTTGCTGTCGGCTTTGTTGGATATAATCTTGTCCAGAGGCAACCAAAACCCGTTGAAAACCATGAAAATTTATCCTTCACCTATGTTACCTCTTCTCAGGGTGAGTTTACAGCATTTTATATTGCATCTTAGGTAATAAATAACAATCAGGCATCAATACAGCATCTCCTCACTTAACAGTGGAGTTTCATTCTAAGACCACATCGGTAAATGAATTTGTTTCAACCATCCTTGATATTGTTTTAATGTTACCTTTGCACCATATATAAAATTTTTGATATTTTTTAAATGTTTTATATAGTAGTGTACTGTATATTGTAATAAACAGAATAGAGGAAATCAGTTTTATGTATGCACCCTGGTCAGAGAGCCTGTCGTAAGTCCAAGTAATTGGTAAACGAGTATATCACTAAGTGAGGAGAGACTGCATATGTTTCCTTCTGAGCTAGAACTTCTGCATTTTCATATCTCTGGTGCATCATAGAACTGGTACAGCTTTGATGTAGAACATTTGTTTAGTGTGATCTAAACTTTTATTATAAGTGAGCTACGTACATCTTACACTCAGTGTTGCACTTTCGGGTTACAACTTCTCATCCATAATTTTAATAGTTTTTCACACACACAAAAAACCTCACTCATTACTTGTTTTCTAATTATTTTGGTGTTATCTACTCCAGAACAATGAGATAAAACTGAACAATGAATTACTCACAGTAAGTGATGTCACATGTTTAGATGTCATATATTAAAGTGTGAGTAATGCTATTCAAGCACAAATGGTATACTGCAGAAGGCCTGCTGGCCCATGTTCTGTTGAATAAGACATGCAATATGGGAAGTGGACGAAGGAAACATCACAGTGTTTTGTTTGATGGTGTTGGTTAAGTTAGTAACCAAACCATAACACGGGCAGGGATAAAACCCACAATCAGAGAGTCTCGAAACTCCAGACCGTCGCGTTAGCGACGTGGTATGGTTTGTTTGCAATCGTGTCATTACGATTTCATGAGTCAAGTTAGTAACCAATTATTCTAGGCATCTGCTCAGTTTGTCGTGTTCCTGTAGAGTAGCTCAGCTTTGTCTCACTCCATGATATGCGAATGTGAGTTATGATAGTGTATGCAGGTGTTATTGGTATTGTCTGTTCTTAAAGCATAGCTATATTCCTGTTGATGGACTGTTGATGTATACCTGGTCACAGCCACCACATGGAATACTGTTAATCCCTTCATTTTTGGCCATGGTGTTTGATATCGAGGTCTTTGGGAAGTTCCATGTGGTTTTTATAGTGACAATTATGATGTCACTGCTGAATTTCTGAAGGATAGGGGATATAATGTCTTTGCTGATACTAGTGAGTAACAGGTATCTCTGTTTTCTCAGCATCTTCCATTAAGCTGGCTTCATGCTTAAATGGAAACTTGAGGCTATAATAATAATAATATCTTTATTTACTACAAGTACATGGTATACAGGCCTATCTGACATCAATGACATGCTACTATATAGAAAGCCCCTTGTTATGCTGAACATTTCAGGCAAATTAGGTCAGTGTCCCAGAATACGACCCACACCAGTCAACTAACACCCAGGTACCCATTTTAATTATGGGGAACATAGACAACAGGTGGAAAGAAACACGCCCAATGTTTCTACTCTGGCTGGGAATCGAACCCAGGCTCCTCACCATGTGAAGCGAGAGCTTTAACCACCAGGCCACCAGAGCCCCTATATTGAGAACGATAGTCACAAACCATGATTCTTCCATACATGATTCTGATTTGTAAGCACAGAAACAGAGCTATATATACCTCAGTACCAGGAACCAAGAAAACAACACACTGAATTGCCTATTACCCAGAAGTACCACTGCAAACACTGTATCCCCTACCTCCAGAACCCCACCACTGATGTTATGGTAGTCACTAAAAATAAATTAGACACATGTGCAAGTCTTGGGTATTTTTATTAACCCTTTGACTGTCGCGGTCGTATATGTACGTCATAGGAGATACCGTGTTTGACGTATCTATACGCATAAATTCTAGCGGCTTCAAATCAAGCAGGAGAAAGCTGGTAGGCCCACATGTGAGAGAATGGGTCTCCATGGTCAGTGTGCACCATATAAAAAAATCGGGGAGCCAGTGGTGCATTGTGGGAATACCATTTCAGTCGTCCTTTTTCAGCATGTCTAGCGGTAAGAAATATGTGACTTCCCTGCAAATCTGGGACTCTTCTCTTCCCAAGTGATGCTCTAACACAGATGGAAGTGTCAATGAAGATCAATTTCATGATTTCGAGACCAAAAGCAATGGAGGAGGAGGAGGAAGAAGAGGAGGAGGAAGAAGAGGAGGAGGAAGGAAGGAGGAAGAGGAAGGAGGGAGGAGGAGGAGGAAGGAGGGAGGAGGAGGAAGGAGGGAGGGAGGAAGAAAGAGGGAGGAGGAGGAAGGAGGGAGGGAGGAGGAAGAAGAAGAAGAAGAATAAGAATAATAATAATACCTAATACCTAATAATAATAATATGTAATAATATGTTCCCTTGAGGCATGAAAACAGTTCACCCCATGACAGTGACAAGATAAGGGGAGATAACATCTGATAAGAGCTGACCTTTGATGAGCGTAAACGAGGGTGGAGGGAGGGGGGCAGCTGTCCATCTGTCAAGAGCCAGGAGGAGGAGAAGGAGAAGAAGGAGGAGGAGGAGGAGGAAAAGGAGGAGGAGGAGGAGGAGGAGGAGGAGAAGAAGAAGAAGAAGAAGAAGAAGATGACGATGAACAAACATTTGTCTGTCTGTCTATTTGTCTGTCTGCCAAACTCCCTGTCTATCCGTCTAGCTCTGTCTCAGAGAGAGCCACAAGACTGTCATCATCACGTTTACTCACATCTTCAAGCAGAGTATAGCACTTTGTCTGGATTTTTTGGGTTATCCTAGGTAATTTACACTATGTATAGTTGTATTTATGTGTACCTGTGAGACAGATAGAGAAAGAGAGACAGATTGAAAGAGATAGAATGAGGGGGAAAGATAATTAGATAGAATGGAGGGGGAAGCAGCATCCGACCCCATTGTTTTGACAGGCGGTAGGGGGAGTGACTAATGAGACAATATGTCATTTTGACAGCTGCCGACTCCTGACTCAAAACAATTATAAGCCACACACTGGCACACAAGACAAGCTTGCTGAAGGGTGATAATAGGAGTTTTATGAAAGTATCTAGTGACTATATATGTGTATATATATTATAGAAACCAGAAGCAAGAAGGGAAGGCAGGAATGAAGGAAGGACGAGATGAAAGGAAGGAAAAAAGTAATGAAGGACAGATGAAGGAATGTAGAAAGAGAGGTGGAATGCCCTCCAGGTAGCCTCCAGGTAGGAAAGGAATGATGACACACGACCATTTACCTAGGATAACTACATAACACAACTGCCTGCTAATACTTTGAAGAAAGCTGCTCAGACGAGGTGTTTTGTCTTTGCACATAAAAAAAAACTTCAACAAAAATGCACACACACTGATTTTGTGTGTGAGAGTGTAAAACACCATTGTGTATGACACCATGTTTTATGTTTGAGGAGTGTAAAACACCACTGTTGATGACACCATGTTTTATGTGTAAGAGTGTAAAACACCACTGTGTATGACACCATGTTTTATGTGTAAGAGTGTAAAACACCACTGTGTATGCCACCATGTTTCAAAGAGTTCCACAAGCTGCAGAACTTCTAGGAATATGTTCAGTGACTGTATATTGGTATATATATTATAGAACAATAGTAATAAACAATTTTTTGTATTGTTTGTTTTTGTAAACAATATATTGATAATTATCTTTGTGTGCTTATTGTGTTGTATACAACGAGTGTATATATGTACATTGCACCTTACTTTGGTCTCACAGGCCACATAAGTTATGTGAAAAAATAAAATAGTGAAAAAAACAACAAACCTTCAAATACAAGTAAACTAAAGTTTACCAGGTGAGCGGCAGTCGCCGCTGTTGCCATACGCGGCTCATTTTCTGCAAACTTCATGCCTCTATATCTCGGTAAGTACTGATGGGAAAATTTTTTTTTTGGGACTAAAACAATCAGAAAAATAATCTTAACATTTTCATAAGAAAAAATAATTTTTTTTTTTCGAATATTTTGCGACACCAGTAGACACTTCAGGATTGGGCCCTTCGACAGTCAAAGGGTTAAGGAAACGTTTTGCCACACAGTGGTTTCATCAGTCCATACAAAGGAGAATCTTGAAGAACAGGAGTAGAATGAGGTAATCAGTCCCTCAACCTTGAGTCGATGTGGTCAGTCCATCACAAATGTGACACCACCTATGACTGCTGCACCTGTCCTGCCTATGGTTTATAAGCTCCTTCTCCGCACGTATGCCATATTCTATTCAAGATTGATGGACTGACCACATTGACTCAAGGTTGAGGGACTGATTATCTCATTCTACTCCTGTTCTTCAAGATTCTCCTTTGTATGGACTGATGAAACCACTGTGTGGCGAAACGTTTCCTTAATAAAGATACCCAAGAGTTGCACATGTGTCTAATTTATCAACGTGTTGGTTCTGTGAACCATTCATCTACAATCCTGTCAGACACTGCAACTTCTTGGGATCTTAATACTTGGGAATCCTACGCTTGCCTAATTCTTGGGCACGACCTACTTCCACATTGAACAAATGTGACACCACCTATGACTGCTGCACCTCTCCTGCCTACAGTTTATAAGCTCCTTCTCCGCACGTATGCCATATTCTATTCAAGATTGATGGACTGACCACATCGACTCAAGGTTGAGGGACTGATTACCTCATTCTACACCTGTTCTTCAAGATTCTCCTTTGTATGGACTGATGAAACCACTGTGTGGCGAAACGTTTCCTTAATAAAGATACCCAAGAGTTGCACATGTGTCTAATTTATCAACGTATCGGTTCTGTGAACCATTCATCTACAACACTATAAAAATAGTACAAGACTTCCAAAGTACTTTGATGTCATACACTAGGCCTAAAGATGCAAGGGTGTACAGCATTTAGTTTAGTGGTTGTAACTAGGTAGTCCATCAACAAGAACATCAGTAT